TTAATTAGTTAGCTTTCTCACCTACATTTATTTTAGAAATACAGTGAAGCATGCATGGATTCTCTTCTGTGTCTTCCATAACCACCACCCTAGATGAGGGAATAGAAGGGGAGCTCATCAAATTTGCAGATTACACTAAACTGGCAGGAATAGCCAACACCCCAGAAGACAAACTCAGGATCCAAAAAGATTGTGATAAACTTGAACAATGGGTCATATCCGACAAAATGAGTTTCAATGTGGAGAAAAGCAAAGTTTTACATTTAAGCAGGAAAAATCAAAGGTTTAAGTACAGATTAGGTGAGACCTGGCTCAAAAACAGCAACTGTGAGAGGGACCTTGGAGTCCTAGTGGATGATCACTTGACTATGAGCCAGCAGTGTGCAGCAGCAGCCAAAAAAAGCTAATACAATCCTGGGTTGTATAAATAGAGGCATAGAATCAAGATCACACAAAGTATTAGTACCGCTTTATAAAACCCTAGTAAGACCACACCTGGAATACTGCAGCCAGTTTTGGTCACCATATCACAAAAAAAAAAGATTTTAAGAGTTTGGAAAAAATTCAGAGAAGAGCAACTAAGATGATCAAAGGCAGTGGTGGGATTCAGCCAGTTCGCACCACTTCAGCAGAACCAGTAGCTAATTTTTTGTTTCCCAGGCCAGAATGGACTTCCAGAAGCAGCATCCACACAGATAACTGGTTGTTCACATATTTGAATCCCACCACTGATCAAAGGCCTGAAGACTAAAACGTATGAAGAACAGCTGCAGGACTTGGGTTTGGCTAGTGTCTAAAGAAAAGAAGAAACAGGGATGACATGATAGAATATTCCAGTATTTGAGGGGCTGTCAGAAAGAAGAAGGGGTCAAACTATTCTCCAAAGCACCAGAGGGAAAGACAAGAAGCAATGATTATAAACTAACCAAAGAGAGAAGCAAGCTGAAATTAAGGGGAAACTTCCTAATAGTGAGGACAATTAACCAGTAGAACACCTTGCCTTCAGAAATCGTTGGTGTTCCATCATTGGAGGTTTTTAAGAAGACAGTCTCTTGTCTGAAATAATATTGGTCCTCCTGCTCGGGCAGGAGGCTGGACTAGAAGACCTCCAAGGTCTCTTCCAGCTCTATTCTGTTCTGTTCTGTTCTGTTCTGTTCTGTTCTGTTCCGTTTCATTCCATTCCATTCTGTAGATTGGACTGAGACAGATCTATTATCTCAATTTTGTTATTTATTTTTTTATGTATTCATCAAATGTACATGGCTGCTAATCTCATAAAACAAGTTATTCTAAGCATTGAACCGTAGCCTTGTAGGATCAAGGGATACAAGAGATGCAGTGTCCTCACTCCTAATCCAACATCTTTAACACAACATCACACTGGCTGTTTGATTAAGATAGAGTCACTTGCAACAATTCAATCAGTGGACTTTATTTTTTTGCATGATATACAGGCACTCCTCGACTTACGACTGTAATTGAGCCTGACATTTTTGTTGCTAAGCAAGACATTTGTTAAATCAATTTTTCCCTATTTTATGACCATAGTTGTTAAGTGAATCACTGCAGTTGTTAGTAACATGGTTGTAAAGTGAATGTGGTTTCCCCATTGACTTTGCTTGTCAGAAGGTCACAAAAGGGGACACTGGACATTGCAACTGTCATAAGTACATGCCAGTTTTCCCTTCCTAGTCCAACAAGTTAAATTTTCAGGGTGTAGCTGGATGCTTTTATATTTTAGTACATTGTTCTAGTTCGTTGAAGACCCAGTTTTGAAAACAAACTTTTATAACTTTTGAAGTATAATTAATTCTTCTGGGATCTTTTCACAGTTGGTTTTGTGGAAAAAGTTGAGGAATCACTCACCCTTGAAGTAGAAACCACAAGCCCAGAGTATCAGGGGGCCTTGTGGTTTCTTGATGTCTTTTTAGTTGGGCCTTTAGTGCCACCTTGTGATACTAGATAGATGAGGATTTTCCCACCTATTTAATGACTTTGAAGAAGCAAGGCTCAAGTCTTCACTTTACAGAATCTAAAAGTCATCACATTTGAAAGAGAAGAATGAGGATTCACAGACCTAGTTTCTAAAGGAGAGCTTCAATCTCAGGAAAATTCCTCATAATAATACATCAGATCTATTGAGGAATAGCTAGAAGGTGCCAAGCTGAGCCAGTATCAACTATTTTTGTTTGATGTAGATTGTCCCAAATTAATGGCCCAAAGAGAAGTTGGTGCAACAGCTAGTTGAGGAAATTTTCAAGGGGGGAAAAGTGCTGCCTTTCTTCAAATCACACTAAATCATGCTTCACAGAATTACATTCTCCAGTATCCATGGGAGTGGGGAAGATCAAAAATACAAGAAGTCAATATCTATGCTTTTTAATCATCTATATGCAATATTTCTTTTTCTTTAATAAAAGAATCTGAGGAACACCATTCTTGGGGACACCAGGTCTGTGGTCTGAAAGTGCTCTTCATGTCTGACATTCCCCTCCTAGCTTCCACCTTCAATGCCTCAACATCAAATTCTGGGTGGCCCTGGGCTCTAACTGCTGATCCTGAAGACCACATTGGTTTATAATGAGACTGTCCTCATTTGTGATCTTATGAGAACCACAACCTGATGCATCTAACAAAACCTGGTTGAGGCCAGAGGGAGAGTATCCCTCTCTTGGAATTGTGTCGAATGGGTTTCAGTTTGGTATCAGCTGACACTACAGAGAAGGGGGAAAGGAGCAGCTGTTGTTATCCATGAGTCCTTAAAGGACTTCGAGCTTTACTCCACATACAAATGGATGTGAAACACTCTGGTTGAAGTTGGGCTGATACCTACCATGACATCTTTTTTTGCAGCCCTGGTTAGCAGTGAAGAATGGAATTTAGAAAGACTTATGGTCCTTTTGCTGCTGATTCTCTTCCTGGCAGGTAGCTGGAAAGAAGATAGGAAGCCCATTAAGGGGGGCTATTAGAACCAGGTTGCAGCTATACTTAATAAAACATAAGCTGAACAAAGCTGTGGTCAACTTGACTTTTGTGTTGGACAGTTATAATACTGCTGGACAGTATTATAACTGCTGGACAGTTATAATACTGCTTTCTACATTTTCTATAAAAAATGAGCAGGACAAATATTTCACAAAAGGACAGGAATTGAATTATTTATTTTTACTCCACATGAGCACGCAAGAATCATAATGTCCCTATTTCTCTCTTCCTGTATTCTTTTTGCTATTCAATGAATACCACCCTTTTTCACAATTAATTATTTTGGAGAAAAACCTGATCTTCTATTGCTCAGAGCTCTGAATCCAAAAGTTTTCAGCATCTCATGATTTACTAACCAGAAAAAGACAATTGTGACTAAGTGTAGAGTTAAGGATTTATGCTGTATTTCCTCTTCCTAATCATTCTCCCTCTTCTTTGTTCATCAGATTAGGGTTAAGATTAAGGTTAGGGTTATAGAATAACAGAGTTGGAAGGGATCTTAGAAATCGTCTAGTCCAGAGATGTCACACTTGTGATGTCATGTGACATCACGCGATGTATCGGGACTGTTTTGCCATTGCCGGCAATGGGATGGGTGCAGCTTCCATGTGATGCGTCCGGCCCACGGGCCAGCAGTTTGACACCCCTGTTCAAGTCCAACCCCCTGCTCAAGCAGGAGACCCTACCCCATTTCAGGCAAGTGGCTGTCCAGTCTTTTCTTAAAAACCACCAGTATTTGAGCACCCACAACTTCTGGAGGAAAGCTGTTCCACTGGTTAATTGTTCTCACTGTTAGGAAATTTCACTAATTTCCAGTTTCTGCAAACATTCTTCATATGTTTTAGCCTCCACCCCCCTAATCATCTTTGTTGCTCTTCTCTGTACTCTTTCTAGAGCCTCAACATCTTTTTTACATCGTGGTGACCAAAAGTGGATGCAGTATTCCAAGTATGGCTTTACCAAGGCATTCAAATCACCAGGACCAAATGGATTACACCCCAAGGTTCTCAAGGAACTGACAGATGTGATCTCAGAACCACTGAACTATATTTTTCAAAGACCCTGGAGCACTGGGGAACTACCAGAGGACTGGAAAAGAGCTGATGTACAGAGAAGAGCAACAAAGATGATTAGGGGGGTGGAGGCTAAAACATATGAAGAATGTTTGCAGGAACTGGAAATTAGTGAAATTTCCTAACAGTGAGAACAATTAACCAGTGGAACAGCTTTTCTCCAGAAGTTGTGGGTGCTCAAATACTGGTGGTTTTTAAGAAAAGACTGGACAGCCACTTATCTGAAATGGTATAGGGTTTCCTGCCTGAGCAGGGGGTTGGACTAGAAGACCTCCAAGGTTCCTTCCAACTCTATTATTATTATTATTATTATTATTATTATTATTATTATTATTATTATTATTATTATTATTATTATTATTATTATTATTATTATTATTATTATTATTATTAGTTTCAGGAGGTGATGATTTTTTAAATAAATGTCGGATGTCCATTCACCTGATGGAACAGCATTTCTTCTTGTGCTGCTTCATAGCTATTGTACTTTGTTCTCTTGGGCAATTATATTACTCTTCCGTCCCATGTAGCATAAGACTCTCATGATCAGCTACTACATATTTGTTACCATAATTGCTATTCCATATTCAAATACTTAAGAGGTGGTTATCTCTCTGGAATTAACCAAGTCACTATAATTTCATCCAGTCAACTCTTCACAAATCTCTCAGTAGAAAGTAAGAAATAAGTCTGAACATGTCTGTTAGGGCTTCGCTGTATGACAGTGGGAACTGGAGCCCACAGGGGGCAGGGTTCATAGGATTTGATCTATAAAATTCCATCCCCCCCTTTTCATCTTTTAGTAACACCTATCTGAAAAGGAAATGCTGACATTCTCAGTTGGTATTCATGCATTTGCATGTTCCCCCCTTCGGTGGCCAAAATCAGATGCCACTGGAGTTTGTAGTTGAAATCATCCAGAAGGACAACCTTTGCTATGAGATGGTGACACAGTCAATGCTTTTGGGCCTTGTTCTTATTACGGCGAGAAGAACAGGCAGTCTGAAATGTCACATAAGTAATGTTCTTCACTTGCCTCATGAATGGTACCAGTCAGGTGACCTCCTCATCGGTGGGCTGATTTCCCAGATCATTTATGGATTCAGAGAATTGTCATTTGATGATGAGCCTTCTCGACGCCAATTTGAATTTTCAGAGTAAGGAATGATTTTGTGTTCCTCTGCATTTCCTGACATTAGGCAGGTTGTTAAGAACGATGCAACTTACATTGCTTGTGTGTGAGAGAGAACAAGATTGCTTAAGACAATTATAGATAGGACTCAGTTGTTTTATTCATTTTTAGAACACCAAGCATGGTATTAATCAATTAATTAATTAACCAGAGCATAAGACCATCTTTAAACACTATTTTTATTTTAAAATACTGAACCAGTTTTCTGAGAAAAGAAAACAAGTTTCCCTCATTAAGAAATAATTTATGGTGCATCTCCCCTATTCTTATATGATGGATTAGCATGCTATGTGCATCAATGCTTCAAAAGAAAGCAAGACTTTATTTGAGATAGACTTTCTTTTTGCTGTATTTTAGTATTGATGCTCGTTGATATGAAATTCCTTCCATTTATTTACTGTATAGTCTATCACAAACTTTGTGTGTTACATTTTTACAGTTTTACATTTTTCCTTTTTTAACTTCACATTTTTATTTTATTCAAAAGATTAAAGATTCAAAACATTTTTCTACTTAAAGATTTTGTAACCAACATCTACTCTTCTATCCAGAATTAAATTTTCATTTTTTTTCTTGTGTATTCTTTGTGCACCTTGACGTATTTCAGTTAATCATTTTATTCAATTTTTATGCCCCCTATGGATTAATTATTGGAGGAGAGTAAAGGACTTTATAATTACAACTTAAATTTTTTTTCAAAGAAAATATACATGCCAATAACTTTTAAACTGTTAGCATCTCTCTCAGTTCTCATTTTCATTCTCATAGGAAATGAGATAAATAGATAAAATTGTGGATCCATAATACATAATAAGAAATTGAATATTGTTTCATTCTCCACCCTATGTTCTAAGTTACAATTGACATAAGAAAAGACTAGAATTTTGACAACAGGTTCAGAAGATGCACATTTTTCTTTTGAAATAAATTGATTGATTGATAGATAGATAGATAGATAGATAGATAGATAGATAGATAGATAGATAGATAGATAGATAGATAGATAGATCGATCAAATTTCTACCCAGTTCATGTAGTTGTTTTTCTAATCCAGACACTGTAGTTCATCATCAAAAGTTTGGGAATGATTTGAGAAGTGGTATGTCACCTTTTTTAGTAAACATAGCAAAAAAGAGAGCATCATGGCAATTCAAGAATAGGAATGGTGCTATTGACTTTGGATAGTAACTATGTGAATTATGAATGCATTTGTTCTCTCTGACTTGATGAAAAAGGTTGAACCTTTATTTGCAGTGTGGTCACAAAGTTCCACCAGCATGCATTTGCCCTGGCCTTTGCTGTGAAGGAGATAAATGAGGACGCAAGGATCTTGCCTAATGTTACTCTTGGATTCCATATCTACGACAGCTACTATGATGCAAGGATGACTTATCGGACCACTCTGGACCTGCTCTTCAAGTCAGCTAGCTTTCTTCCCAACTACAAATGTTCCAGACAGAGGAACCTGATAGCCATCATTGGAGGACTTGGTTCTGATACCTCTTTCCATATGGCAGACATTCTGGGTCTCTACAAGATACCACAGGTATTTCCTATTGCTTGCAATAGGAAAAAAACAATAGAAGGACAGGACTGGACTAAATATAAAAACAGTTGAAACTGAATAATAGAATTACAGAGTTGGAAGGAACCTTGGAGGTCTTCTAGTCCAACCCCCTTCTCAAGCAGGAGACCCTATATCATTTCAGACAAATGGCTGTCCATCTCTTCTTAAAAAACTCCAATGATGGAGCACCCACAACTTCTGGAGGCATGCCATTCCATTAGTTAATTGTTCTCACTGTCAGGAATTTTGTCCTTATTTCTAGGTTGCTTCTCTCTTTTAGAATTAAAATAACAGAGTTGGAAGGGCCTTGTGGGTCATCTAGTCCAACCCCCTGCCCAAGCAGGAATCCCTACACCATTTCTGACAAATGGCAGTCCAGTCTCTTCTTGAAAGCTTCCAGTGATGAAGCACCAACAACATCTGAAGGCAGTCTGTTCCATTGGTTGATTGTTCTCACTGTCAGAAAATTTCTCCTTATTTCCAGGTTGAATCTCTACTTGATCAATTTCCACCCGTTATTCCTTTCGGGCCTTCAGGTGCTTTGGAAAATAGGTTGACCCCCTCCTTCTGTGATAGTCCTTCAAATATTGGAGCACTGCTATCATGTCCTTCTCTTCCCTAGACTAGCCATGCCCAGTTCTGTAACCGTTCTTCATTTATTTTAGCCTCCAGACCCCCAATCATATTTGTTGCTCTTTTCTGCATTTTTTCTAGAGTCTCAACGTCTTTTTTTATCTTGATTAGTTTCCATCCATTGCTTCTTGATCTGCCTTTGTAGTATACTGCATTACGCTCTAATGTCTTTAAAATACTCCCAAAAAACTCATTCACTTTAGCTTTCTACATGAACAAATTGCTTTAAATTTGTCTCTATAGCATAGACATAAATATCCTACCACTGTTTTGGTTTGATGTTGTTTTTCCCCTTGTTGCATTCTGTTTTAGCTCACATATGGATCATTGGTTTATTACACCCAAGTCCCTTCATTTTATTCCATGGTCCCAAATGAAGTTCACCAATACTCTGGAATCATCCAGTTGCTCCAATATTTTGGGTGGACATGGATAGGGCTCATGGCCCTTGATAATAACAATGGAGAGAAATTCTTGCAGACCCTGGAATTATTACTTTCCCAGAATGGAATATGTACAGCTTACACAGAACGAATCCCGCATGAAATTAGTTTGGATAACTTGGAACCAATTATTGATAAGGCATCCAGTATCCATGTACCTTTAACTGATCAAAAAGTCAACACATTTATTATTTATGGAGAATCAGTGACAATAGCACGGCTGAGAGCCATTATATTTGTGCAAGATCCTACAAATAAAGAAAAGGACTCATTTAGAAAAGTCTGGGTCATGACAAGTGGGATTGATTTCATACTCCCAGGCCTTCAGAGAGGTTGGGATCTTGATTTATTCCAAGGAGCCATTTCTTTTACAGTTCACTCAAAAGAACTTCAGGGATTCAAAAATTTTCTCCAGATGGTAGGTCCTTCCTGGGCCCAAGAAGATGGCTTCTTTAAGGATTTTTGGGAGCAAGCATTTGATTGTTTTCTTCCAAATCCTGATATGTCAGTAAAGCATGATGAAATATGTAGTGGGAAAGAACGTTTGGAAGATCTACCTGGGCATCTGTTTGAAATGCACACCATTGGACATAGCTACAGTATCTATAATGGTGTTTATGCAACGGTTCATGCTTTGCATGCCATGTTCTCATCTAAATCCTTCCAGAGATCCATCACGAAGGACAAGTCTGTTGAATTTGTAGAACTTCAACCGTGGCTGGTAATGGCACTCAAAACAGGATTGTTTTTATTTCAATGACTGATTGAACTTTTCCTGATCTTTATCTCTAGCTGAACATTTATGAATAGTCATAAATGTCCTTTTCATAGGTACCTAATGAAATTATATAATTTCATAGTTTGGGAGTCTTAAAATTATTCTGCAAGATGAAACCATGTGGCTATTTTCTACATCAGGGTATCTCTGAGAGTTAAAACACATGATTAGTGAAATGAGGTACCTAGCGGTTTAGCTACGGAAAATGGAGTAAACTGCTGATTTGTAATTAACCAGAATAACATAAAGCAGGGAATAAATGGTAAAATGTTTGCTATATTGCATTCTGCTTACTTGAAAAGCAAAACTAAAACTCTTCTTCAAAAGCATCTTAGTACTGAGTGTTTGAATCATTAAGGGCAAGAGCTGTAGGGGTGGAAAGAAGAAAAATTATCCTGAAACTCATTTGAGTTCCATGAGGTTCAAGGTCATAATATTTTTTGATAGAACTTTAGCATTGCGGTTAGTGTCACCATAACTGTAAAAGAGATTCTGGAAAGAATGCAGAGAAGAGCAACAAAAATGACTAGGGGGTTGGGCACTAGAACGTATGAAGAACGATTGCAGGAATTGGGTTTGTCTAGTCTAGTGAAAAGAAGGACTAGGGATGACATGATAGCAGTGTTCCAATATTTGAGTGGCTGACACAAAGAAGAGGGCATCGACCTATTCTTCCAAAGCATCTGAAGGGAGGACAAGAATGGATGGAAACTAATCAGGGAGAGAAGCAACCTGGAATTAAGAAGAAATTTCCTGACAGTGAGAACAATTAATCAGTGGAATGACTGCCCTCCAGAAGTTGTGGGTACTCCATCATTGGAGGCATTTAAAAAGAAACTGGACAGTCATTTATCTGGAATGGTATAGGGTCTCCTGCTTGAGCAGGTGTTGGACTAGAAGACCTCCAAGGTCCCTTCCAACTCTTTTATTCTGTTAAAAATAAATGAAATCTTTAATTCATTTAATTCATTAATTCTTTAATCTTCTTTTGTTTATCTCTTTCTAAATAATATATGCTTTTTTTCTCTTGGTTTCCAATCAGCTCCACTCATATCTTAAAAGGGTTTCCTTCAACAATTCAGCAAATGACTTGGTGTCCTTTAATGAGCGAAAGGAAATAAGATGTGGATTTGACATTGTGAACACGGTCGCTTTTCCAAACAGGTCCTTTGAAAGAGTGAAAATTGGATGGATAGATCCAGATGCACCCGGTGGAGAAGAATTCAGAATTAACGAGAACATGATTTTGTGGCACAGAGTCTTCAATCAGGTGCGGCTGTCTGGGTTCTTAAAGGACCCTCCTTTCTCCATCTGGTTCATAAAATTTATTTTATGAATAATAGGAAGAGGCAGAGGTGTTTGCAGAAAATGCTTGCCCTTATGATAATATTATATCATACTATTATAATACTATACCATAAACAAGAGCCGTGGTGGCACAGTGGTTAGATGGTTCCATCCCAGGCGACTGATGGACCCTGAGAGGTTCCTGACGGAGCTTGGGCCATATCCGGAGGATCTGGTCCACGACTCGGCGGAAAACCAGGCGGCGGCTTGGGAGACAACTGCCGCCGCTGCATTGGACCGAGTCGTGCCTTTGCGGCCTCTGACCCGACGTAGATCTCGACTGGCTCCCTGGTTTACCGGGGAGCTGAGA